CAAGAGGCTGGAAAGTTTTTTTTTGGGCGGCGTGCAAAAAAAAGCAACAGCGAAAGCAGTTAGCCGCCGACTTTGAGCATGGATTTCTGTGCAGTCTTTTGTGCTGTTTGAGAGGGTTTTTGGTATCCCCTTTGTGAGAGATTTGAAAGTTTGTTTGAGGGTTTAAGTTGTGTGATTGTAAACCCTATTTGTACTCTCTCCCTCTAATAGTAGATTTTCCCCCTCCTTGCCCCGTGGACGTAGGCAATTTGTCGAACCACGTTAAAATTGATTGTTCGTGCCGTGATTTGTAATAGAGAGTTTAGGTTCCCTCGACAGGTCAATCCTAGAACTGATAAGAGGAAGAGCTGATATCCCACTTTGTTGAGATATTTTACTTTCAGTTCTTGTTTTCTTTGTGAAACATGGATTTAGTTGAAATCTACTCTCTTATTGAGCACCAGAGGTGCTGCCGAAATTTCCGCTGCGCACACCAAATTTTTGATTTAATTTCTACTCTGAGTTATAATCTTAATCTGTTTTCTCTGATTTTAATTAACTATTTAATTGCATTTCATGATAATTAGTGTCTAAGCAGTAATTTTTATCTAACACCCTTGAACTCTGTTCATCTTATAGCCTTAAGCATTAGGCGTCTCACAAAACCCTCACTGAACTATACACATTGCTAACCCCTTTGACATGTTGCAAATAACTAACACACCCTTCGGAAAAACCATTTCAATTTTTGTCATTTTTTTATTTATAGGTAACATATCCTCTCCTCTAAAATTTAGTTATAAATTAGATGTAGGTTTAGGGAGGTTTTCCAAGACCACCCAAAGTTCAGAGAGGTTATGTGAGAGGTAAACAATTTTTGTAGGGTTTAAGTGAAAAACACCTAATATTCAGGGTTTTTTTTGAAACTAACCCCTGTTCCTTTTCTGTCAATTTTTTGTTGGGGTCCGTGATTGCAATTGCCTACCAACCATCTATAGACTATAGGTTCCCTTGTCCCACGGAGAGATTCAGAATCTATATACTGAAGGCAGAGAACTTTCTTTTTTTTGTAATTAAGACCCTGTTTGGTTTGTTAAAAAAATCATGGAAATCAAACTTTTAGGAAATTAGTGTTGCTCATGTCGGATTTTGAAAGTTAAATTTTTTTTTCTTGTGTTTGCTTCGTCCATGGTTTTGGGAAATAGGAGCAGAAAACCACTGTCATGTAGATTTTTAGGGCCCGCTTGTTTGGCGTTGGGAGATTTCCTAAAAACCAAGAAAAGGAAATCTATGTACTTTTTTCATTAAAATATTATTTTTATCCACTTCCATCCATAAAACTCAATCCAAGAAAAAGAAATCTATACACTTTTATCAATAAAATATTATTTTTATCCACCAACTCATCACATCTTATCTCCTTTCTTACTTTTAAAAATATACCAAACACAAGAAACGGGTCACATCATCCAACTCATCTCATCTCATATTTAAAAATCACTCACATCATCCAATAATATGGTGACAACTCATCTCATCTCATTAACATTTCATTTCCACTCATTTCCTAAAAAAAAAAATTGATTTCCTGGGTCACATCATCCAATAATATACAAACAACTCATCTCATCTCATCTATTTTCTTATTTTTAAGAATGAACCAAACACAAGAAAAAAATTATTATAGGAAATAGGTTTCTTATAATACATTTTCTTATTTTTTTAACCAACCAAACAACATCAAAACAAGTTTTCTTAAAAAATCACTCACATCATCCAATAATATGATGACAACTCATCTCATCTCATCTCCTATTCTTTGATTTCCTTCTTTTTTAACCAACCAAACAACCATAATTCAAGAAATCCTATTCTTTGATTTCCTATTCTTTGATTTCCCAAAAAATTTTGCGCAACGAACAGCCCCTTAAGGAAATTTGATTTCAAAGCTCAAAACTTTGAAATTGGTTGGAAAAAATATAATTTTTTTAGCAATAAATATTGAATGATAATGTCAAGATGGGAAATTAGAGAAAATGATTAATGATTTACATGCGAAACAAACAAAGAAGTTTTAAGGAAATCAAAAGATATTGTCAGATTTCTTGTGTTTAAACTTTTAAACCAAACAAGAGAAAATAGAGAAATACTATTTCACCCTTATGATTTTTATGTGAAACAAACAGAAAAAAAGTCCACTTCTAAGAAATACGCGGAAATGCAAAGAAATAGATTTCCAAGTTAATTTTCATTTCCCTTTTTCTGAAGATGCGAGCCAAAGGGAAATTTACGGATAATATTTCATGCAAAGTCTTACAGATGAAACCCCAACACTGGAAGATTTTGCATTTCAATTTTCCTCTTTTTAAATTTGAAACCTTTTGGATCTACTATTGTTGATAAATTATGCATAAACAGCATATAACTCCGCCTGCTTCATGAATATATATATTACGTATTGGACAAACCTTTTATATGGACATTGGTGTCTCGCAATGTCATTATTAGGTTTAACCGATTCGACAACACCACAAAAATGAAGAAGAAATATGGTGTCTTATTCCATGATTTGGTTGCATAATTCTTGGATGATCTAGAAGAATGAGTTTTTTCAGATGGTGGAGAAAGAATCAGGACAATAGCAAACTTATAAGTTCAAGGTTACTTTAAAATATCTTTGTTTATTTCACATTATCCTCATGATTTTTAGGGTATCTCACAAAACCCCCTATCAACTTTGAACTTTTCCCACCGGAACTTCAGACATGTGATTTACAAATAATTAAATTTTCTTTTTAAAAAATTCTAAATTTAATGATGGAGGTATGTTTCTTGTAAATAGCAAGTGAGGAAGTTTGAGATTTTCTTCTCTCGAGAACATTTCAGTTATTAGTAAATTACAGACAGGGGGTTAGTGAGGTACTGTTTAAAGTTCAGGGGGAGTTTGTGGGACACCCCATAGTTATGAGGGGCCATATGAGATTAACAATGGTTAGAGGGGTTATGTGCTAACACCTCCTAAAATTCAAGGGTGGATTGTCATCATACTTACCCTTTTGAAATGAGATACGGGCGTAACGGGCCCACAGTAACCTACACGTAACTTTACCCATAAAGTCAAACTTAATGTCACCGATATTTACGTAGTACGATCGCCTCTAACACGCGAAACACGCGGTCTCGTCTACAATCCACCATACTCAACCACGTGTCCAATCTCCACAAGCCTGTACCCACGAGCAAGCCGCCGTAAAATAGTTCACCAATTCCACGTCCACATTCAAATGGACCAGACGTACACGCTGTACGGCCAACATCCGTCCAACCCCCACATTCTTCTTCTCTAAATCCTCCGCTAGCGCACGTAAGAACCTCAAACCAGGAACCGCTCTTCCGAAGGTTCCTCGATCCCAGCAACACGAGCCCAACGCATAAATTCCCACGTGTCGTCTCCTCGCTCATAGTTTCAACGATTCCACGAAATCTAGTCTCCTTCGCTAAAGTCGTGAAATCTGCATCCATCCAAAATCAGTCAAATTAAAATGGTTGCGGTCGACGCTCGAATCGCCGACCGCGTCGATCCAATCCGATCTCGAAGCTCGAACTCCTGCACGGGCCTGGCATCGCGCTTGGGCGACGGGCCGGAACTGCCGGATTTGGAGGGTGCGTGCCTCTGAAGGGGCGCATGCACGAACGAGTGGTGTCACATCAAGATGTGGGACGAAGCGATGGGGACGGCGGGACGACGAGGAAGGCCTTGGTGAGGATCTACGGCGAAGGGGTCGAGCTTTTCTTCGACCGAGAGGACGAGATCAGGACTTTTGAGGCCATGTCGAGGCACGGGCAGGGGCCGAGGTTGCTAGGGAGGTTTCCTAATGGGAGGGTTGAGGAGTTCATCCACGCTAGGGTAAGTATTGATTATAATTTTAGTTACGTCATCAAGGGTAATATATTAACCGGTTTTTCTATAGAATGACCATGGGCACTCTATAAGAGAGGAGAGATAGAGGGAAATGAATTATGCATAAAAAATAATGTAAATCAGGGGGCCATGAGCTATTCATTTCTCTCTATCTCTCTCCTCTCTTATAGAGTGCCCATGGGCACTCTATAGAAAAACCGATATATTAATTACCGTCGATCTTCATTATAGCTTTAGAGTTCTAGCAGAGCAGCTCAAGTCTTTTGATATGATATTAGAGTAACCAAGGTTCGATTCCCACTGGGTGCAAACTTAAAACAGATCTTAAAGCTTGATACCGCTGCATCCTATAGAGACATGTTGGAGTTTAAGGTTATAATCCCCGGTCACTAGCTTTGGAGTTTTGGTACAGTGACATGTCATAAAAAATTCTGGGTTTAACTGATAAATTTAAAAAGTTTAGGAGGATTTTATGAAACTATCCAAAGTTTAAGGGTTTTTTTGTCAAGTTTACAGTGTATTGTTTATTTGAAATTTAGAATGGCTAAATATCATAAAACCCCCCTTAGTTTTGGATGATTAAACAGAAACCTCCCTTAACTTTCAAAATATCAGTAAATTAGTTGTTTGTTTTGATAAAATTTAAATTGAAAGGGATTTTTTTGATAAAATATTAGGGGGGGGTGATTCCCCTACACTTAAGGGGCGGTTTTCTGATATTCTAAAAGGTAAGGGAGTTTTTCGCTAATTGTCCAAAGTTAATGGGGTTTTCTGATATTAATTTACCCATCTAGAATTGTAAAAGTTGACTTCCTATTCGAAAGGTGTATGAGGTAAGGGAAAATGGTTAGTTTAATATTGAAATTGGCAAGAGAAGACTTGTTTTGTCTCAGTATTCTGAGAGATAAGTTCTGTTTTCATTGATGTGGTGTTTGACTAATATGCCTGTCGGTTACTACTTGGTGATGATTTGGGATTTTTACCGACGTTATCCAATGACTATCTTTCATTGTGAACAGGGGAGAGGATCAAAACCTAGTAGCGGTGTCGTCTAAAATTAATCGGCATAGTCAAGGACCACCCTTTTATTCATTTTTCTTTTGTTTTGGCCACTTAGTTTCCATGGCTCATAAGGGCCCGTTTGGATGCAAAAATTAGAGGGGGAAAGCCTGCAAAAGTTCTGAAAAAGTCAGAACTTTTACAGGCTTTCTTGTAAAATCGCCCTAATTTAGGGCGATTTTGCAAGAAAGCCTGTAAAAGTTCTAATTTTTTCAGAACTTTTGCAGGCTTTCCCCTGCTTTTCCCCTCCAATTTTTGCAAACAAACGGGCCCTAAGGCAAAGATTAAAATATTCTTTTGGTGAACTACCATGTATGTTATTTTTTTTTATAAAATTAACCTGTATATTATTGAATTACAGGATTGAAGGAGTTCCTCAAGCCCTTTTCTTTCTTTTATTTTTCCTTTGCGGATGATATATATTTTTATTGTTTTCTTTCGAGTTATATTAATAGTATTTACTTAAGAATCTTTATGGTCGTTTTATTTCTTGTACGATTACAGACTCTCTCAGCATCAGACTTGCGTGACCCTGAAATATCTGCAATAATAGCAACAAAGTTAAGGGAATTCCATGAACTCGACATGCCTGGTCCAAAAAAAGTATTCCTATGGGACAGACTCAGGTACTCCAAATCATTCACTTTTAATTATATATATTCCTATTTTAATTTGGACTAAATTTAATTATGGTCATTTCAGAAACTGGCTGAAGGTAGCAAAAAGCTTGTGCTCTTCTGAAGAAGCTAAAGAATTTTGCTTGGATATGCTAGATGAAGAGATCTCTAACTTGGAGAATGTTTTATCAGTGAAAAATCAAAGGATCGGCTTTTGCCATAATGATCTTCAGTATGGCAATATTATGATGGATGAAGAGACCAGAGCAGTGACAATAATTGTGAGCATCTTCCTTTAGAAAGGAAGGAAATTTTTTTCTCAGTTTAACTTGACATAATATTGTTCTTTTTTGCAGTTCATGCTTTGATGCAAATAACTTGTTTTGAATAATCAGAGCAAGGTGCCCAAGAAATTTATAAACTAGATATTTTTACAAAAATAATTTCATATTTAGCTTAACCTGCCTCTTTTTTCAGGATTACGAGTATGCAAGTTTCAATCCTGTTGCATATGACATTGCAAATCACTTCTGCGAGATGGCTGCTGATTACCATACAGAAACGCCTCATATCTTGGACTACAATAAGTATCCTGGTATATCTTTGAGTACAACATATCGATATTCAGGAATAAATTTATTTCTTAACAGTCTTAGATTGTAGATAAATCCACTTGATTAGGATTTAACTCTGTATTTTCATTGCAACAGATCTTGATGAGCGCAGACGATTTGTAGAGATTTATCTGTGTTCTTCAGGTAGTACTTTGTTATACATGTTTATGATGGATGTCTGTAAATATTTCCATAGATGTTAATTACCTCTAGTTTGTGCAATTTAATTTTATATACAGGTGAAAAGCCAAAGGATACTGAGGTCAAAATTCTTCTCCAAAACATTGAGAAGTATGTTCTTGCAACCCATTTGTGCTGGGGACTATGGGGAATAATTTCGGTAAGCCATGTTTATTGTGCTATCATTTTATTTTGAACCAATTCTTAGTTATATATACGACTTCTTAATTTAGATGGTTTATTCAACTTTTATCGGGTTTTTTTTCAGGATCATGTGAATGATATTGACTTTGATTATATGGGATATGCAAGGCAGAGGTTTCAACAGTATTGGTGGCGCAAGTCTGATGCACTGGGTTGCATGCCTCATTAGCTGAGGACTGAACTACATATATATCCATTTTTCTTTCTAGTTTTCCTACTTTGTATATATGTTCATAAGGGCACCTGATGAGAGAAGAGATCTTCTACATCATGGGGAATGCCCATAATTATATTGATGGATAAATAATATTGGTTAATACAATGGGCTCCAAAACTAGGAAGGTGTTCATGTAATTTAATTAATTAATATAATACATGGGGTCATGCAGTGAGAAGGGGTTAGTGAGAAGGGGTTACCGGTGAGTTGTAGACATCCTCTATAATCTAGGGTACAGAGAATCTTATGGGGTGCCTGATAATATCAAACTTATTCAGTGTTATGTGTGAAGTATGATGCTCATTTTTTAATAAAAGGGGGAGCTTGTGTTATGATATGAAAGATGTGTTGACTTTTGTTGTGGGAGTAATATTTGCTTAATTCTATGGTACAACACTAACTCCTCTAGCTCAAACTCAGGCGGCAGAGTCTAAGGGAAATTAAATTGTTGCTTGATGGGTCTCGAGGTGCATTTATGAGGGGTCATTAATGGGTCATTGCTGATGCGACATTCTGACATCAGACAAGATCGTGTGTTGGTGTCGTGTCGGTACCCGAATAGAGATTGCATGCCAGTTAAAGTGAATGGCGCTTCGGTTACTAAGCAGTTGCCTTGATTTTTGGGGTCTGTCGACAACCACGTGTACCGTTAGGATCTCAACGCATATCGACTCTTTTGCCCATATATACAGCCGCTCTTAGATGGGAAATTTTATTTGCATTTGAAACCCTATAGTGATTTCTGACCATCTTTTCTATTCTTCTCCAATGATCATCAAATCGATGGCATCTTCGTCTTCAGTGGCTCGAAATGAGGCTCGGATCAATCATCTCCAAAGTTTCTACTCAAAGGTGCAGTCAGCGTTGCTAGAGAGTTATAATGATAAGTTTGACATCACTTGAGCATTCACTCTATTAGCATCGTAGAGAGAGCAAGATTTGTACAATCATGGCGATAGTATCTCTCCAGTGTATATCAAGCACTTAGACTATAGCATGCATCTTCTGCTCCACCCTTTTCTTCACCGCGTCTTTGAAGCCTAGGAGTTTCATTATCGCCGCGCCTTTGAAGCCTAGGAGTTTCATTATCAAGATGAAGTCGAACTCCATAGCTACTCTGGTGGGGTTTGTAGTCATGTGCAACTGATTGCGGGTTAAGCTGACTCTGAGAATTCTCGATCATCTCGCTAGTGTGAAGGTTAATCAGCAAGAGCCCACTACTATCTTTAGATCTTGGGCGGCCACAAACTTGTCTCTAATACCCTCGAATCTAACAATGAGTGGAAGGAGAGATTCCTGTGGGTATTTGGAACAGAAGCTATCTTGGCCTGCTCCTTGTAGTCAATAAGACTGCGCTGAAGCGGGGTCTATTGGTAAGCGTTCAAAAGCAAGCACTCGACAAGATTAAGTCTTACACTAGTTCTCGCTGAAGCGAGAACTTTTTCGACAACTTAATACTACGAGTTGTCGGCATTTCTCAAGTTCCTCTTGCTAAGGATGATGAGACTCCAGTGGCTATGTTGGCGCTATGGTTTGAGAAGCCCAAGATATCCACGGTGGCAACCCCAGTTTGATCTTAAAGAGAGGCATCAGCGAG